AACTTTTTTATATATTAGATTTTTATTAAAAAATTTGTAAAATTAGATAAGAAAATGGAGATTTAATTATACTTTTAATAAATTTAAGATAATACTAGTTTTTATTTTTATTTTTAAATATTTATTTTAATTTTTTAAAACAGAGAAACTATAATTTTAGTTTCTAAATACTAAATTTAAAGAATTAAATTTATTATTATTTAATCTCTTAATTTTAGTATTAAAAATTTAAATTATATTTTATTAAATTAAAATAATTACAATATATTTTTCTACTTTGAGAATTAAAAATATAATTAAACTAAAACTGAAAATATTATAATACATCTTTGAACTCTTTTTTATAATATTTTTATCATTATTATATTTTTAGATTAATTTTTTTTCCTAATTTTCTATAAAGTCACTTTTAATATTTAAAAGTATTTAATATTTTGCATTCTGAAACTTTTTCTCTATTAGCAAATTTTAAAACATAATATACTAAAAAATTATTATACATAATTATTTCATCCAAATTTTTAATATTATGATAAGTCATCAAATTCATTTTTTTCTTTCATGTCATTTCTTTTCGATATGAGTGCTTGAATTTATAAAAAAAATTATTTACAAAATTCACTTCTCTAATTTCTATCTTCATATTTCTTAACTATTTTTTTATAATTATGAAGGTCAAGATTGGTACACATTTAAATATATTATAAATGAAGAATATTTGTTCTTTCTAGTTTTTTTTTCTCAATCTATAATTTTATTATTTTTATTTTAAAATATATTTTATATTTTTTAAAATTAATAATTTTAATATAGTCATCTAAATCTTTGATGTGATGGTTTTAATTAATTGGTATTATCAAATGATTTTATTTGATTTGTTATAGTAAAAATTATCAAAGTAAATTTTAAAATAATATTAGTTACTTTAAATTATAAGAAAATAAATAATAAAAATAAAAAATAAATTTGAAGTTAAAAAATATGTAAAAATAATTTATAAATAAATAAAGAAATACTTGTCTCAAATAATATAAAACAAATTTAATGATGGATTAAAATAAAACAACATTTATAAGAGACTATTTATTTTTATTTATGATAGATCAAAAGTGGAAATACATTTAAATTTATAATTTTATTTATGAAATACATTTAAGTTTATAATTAATGAAAATATTAATATAATATGATACTTTTAGTAATATATTTTTTTTATAAATTTAAACTTACTTTTTTTAGTTTAGTTTTTAAATTTTATGTATTATTATTGTTAATTGATATACTAGAATAAATTTATATAAATATAGTCTTTATCTTCAAAATTCACTTCTTCAAATTCTATCTTTATATTTTTCTACTGTTTGTTTATAGTTAAGAAGGTCAACATTTATGCACACACTTAAATATAATATAAAGTAAAGAGTATTTGTTTATTTTATTTTCTTTCCAATATATAATTTTAGTATTTTTTTAAAATATATTTTATGTTTTTAAAATTAATAATTTTAATGTAGTTATCTAAGCTTTTGATGTGATGATTTTAATTAATTGATATTATCGAACTATTTTATTTGATTTATTATAGTAAAAATCATAAAAATAAATGTTAAAATAATATTAATTATTTTAAATTAAAAGAAAATAAATAATAAAAATAGAAAATAAAGTATCCTATAAAAGAAGACTAATTATTATAAAGATAAAATAGAATATGGGAGGAGATGAGGATGATAATGTAATATATCAATTGGATATGTGAGAAGTTTAAAAAGAAAAAAAAGTTAAAAAAGGATATATACATAAGTAATTGGATTAAATTTGTTATCCTCTCATATATTATTATACATTATTAGCGTAATTTTAGTTTAATTAAAAATTAGAATACAAATATATGATATTATACTAATATACCAATATATTATAAAATTTGTAATTTATTTTCATTGTGTATAAATTACAAAACAAATAATTTTTAAAAATTTTAATGATAATTTTTTTTAACTTATATATTACAAAATATTTTTAATACTTTAATAAATATAACTTTTTTTAAATATATTTCATCAATTTAAAGTATAACTTTTTGGTATTTTTTAGTATTTTTTTTAAATATGGATATTTTTAATATTTTGTAGATGTAAATATAATTTATATATGTTTTTAAACCTTTTTTTTAATTTGTTTTTAAAAATATAATATTATTTTTAATATTTAATATTTATATTTTAAATTTATTTCTTAAATGATGAATGAATAATATATTAATATTTTTTTCATTAATTAAATTTATAAATAATGAATTAAAAATATTTATTATCTTTGAAAAAATATAATATTATCTTTAATATTTTAATATTTATATTATAAATTTTTTATTAAAATATTAGGGTTCTTGTTTTTTTCTTTTCTTTCGTCTCTACTACAAGCTATCAATTTTTTTTCCATCTTATAAATTAAATTTTAAATATATAAATATATAAAATATAAAAATATATATAAATATATAAATATATGAATATATAAATATATGAATATATCAATATATGAATATATGAATATATCAAAATATATGAATATATCAAAATATATGAATATATTAAAATATATAAATATATTTGTATTTATAGATTTTATATTTATATATTTATATATATCACTAAATTCCTAAATTTCTTACAAGGTTCTAACCTTAAAGATCCTAAATCACCCCTTTTGTGATTCATATCGATTACACACAAGTGTCATTTGAGGGACCAAACACGTTGAGATTGATTGTCATTTCATTCGAGAAAAAATTATGTCTGGAGATATCAAGACTGAGTTTGTTAACTCAAGTGATCAGTTAGCAGATATTTTCACTAAGTCTTTACGGGGGCCTAAAATTGATTATATTTGTAAAAAACCTGACACATACGATTTGTATGCTCCGAGTTTGAGGGGGAGTGTTAGATATTGTTTAGATATAATTTGATATTATTAAGATATTGTTAGATATTGTTAACCACAATATCAAACAATATAGTTGATATGAATTACAAAGGGGTGATTTAGGATCTTTAAGGTTAAAACCTTGTAAGAAATTTAAGAATTTAGTGATAAGGTGGAAGGAAAGAATCACTCTTTCCAAGGAAGTCAACACACATAGGATGTGAAAGTCCTTTGATACAACCAAGTGTTCTTGAATCGCTCAAGAACTTAGGAGAATCACTCTCACTAAGATAAAAGAGATAAACTCTAATATTTCTAAAAATAAAACTTATAAAGAAGCTTTGCCATCAGAGTTACAAATATTTATTAAAGGAAAATAAATACTAATAATGATTTATTAACCTAGGAATTGAAAACTACTTAATGATTTATTGTAACTGAAATTGTGGCATCCAAAAGTCAATCAGTTATGCACCCTCTTAGTCTCCCAAAGACTGATAACTAAATTTCCAATTGAGCCCTTATTACAACTTGCAATAAAACTAAACTAAAACTCATTAATTGATTAATCCAAAATACAATTTGGTCAACCAACACTACTTGTTGAAGAACTTCATTTGTTTCCTTTGCTCTAACCATTATTATAAGTCATGTTCACATCAAAAGACGAGTTGGACCATGCTTAACTTTTCTCGTTAACTCATTTTTATAAAGATATTTACATATTAAAATAAAAATAAAAATAAAATAAATTACAATTTAAAATATTCATTTTTTTATTATATGGGTGAAATATATAAATATACTATATACTTGTAATTTAAAGAATAACCGTAACAAATTAAGCTATTAACTAATTCAATAAAAAATATTAACTATTGAGTAATAATTTTAACAAATAAATGTATTAATTTTATGAAATTATCGAGTAAAATATATTAATTAATGAATAAAGATTTAAAAAATATGTATATAATAAGTGTGTTTTTTTAAAAAATATAAAAATATTGATAAAATAATCCACTGTTTTGTTAATCCATTATTTATTAGGATGAATAAGTATTTCCGACTTATCTTGATTATATATCATCTTATTTATAAAAAAAAAGTCAAATAATACGAAATAGGACAGAATAACTTGTTTTATTATCTTTTTCATTATGTGTTTCCATAATGAATTAGAACGGGATACTTTCTTTAAAAAGAATTAATGATTAGAATAAAAATAAGTTTGGACAACTATTTGAAAATAAAAAAAATTAAGAAACAATTACAATGAAATTATATTTTAAAATATTTACAAATGAGAATAAATTCAAGAATTAATTAGAATGAACTTATATTTTAGAATGTTTATTTGTAGACGAAGTATAGTTTACGAGAGTTTAGTGTTCTAATTTAAGAGATGCGATAGAAGGGGAAACTTGAAAGAGAAGAGTTTGTTTTTGGTGTGAGAATGGATGACTCAGCCACAACCCAAAAGCAAGCTATATTCGAAAACACACTCAAAAAGTAACATGAGAAGCATATCTGAAAAGCGAATAGAAAGTAAACCAGGAGTTACAATTTATAGAAAAACCGAATTTAAAAGAGAATATAAGATATGAAAAGTGTAAAGAAGAAAAGTTCCAAGTTATAAGATATGAAACAAAGATAATAATCAAACACTTTAACTTAGTCAAATAAGTTAAAAAGTAACTTATTTATAACATGCCAAATACACTCTAACATGATTAGTAAATACTTGTAAGTAATGAATATGTAATTTTTTTTTTCTGAATACTTGGGGATCTTTTCCATTTTCTTATGAAACTACAATGCCTCTCATCTGTTAAACTTTATCCTATATAAGAAAAATCCCACCTTCCCAGTTTAACTAATTTGATTTTGACAAATCATGAACTGTCATAAATACCAACCACTATCACTTGATTGTGTTTGTATTGATCTAATTAATTGAAGCATCATTGCCTTATTTGATCAAGTTTGAAACTATAATTGTTCAAATCCATTGGGTGGGGCTTGTAATTTTTTATAAAAGTAGAAACATGAAACACGATTTGTGGAGTTTAATGAGAAGGGTAACAAAAATAGGGTGTAAAGAAAGTTGACAACTGTTGTTAGATTATAAAGAAAAAATTTGTTGTGAAAAAGGTATGAATTGATTGAGTAAAGAAATCAAAATATCTAAATATCACTCGTAAAGTTTACATACTTCACTTGTAATTACTTTCACGATTCTGCACCCAGTGGAAATAGAATCTGAAAATGTTTCTTTTTTTCATGTTATGTATATGCTAATGATGAATAATAAACTTTTCTATATTGATAAAAAGAGCAATATTATATATTCTTCTATATTCAAACTTTTTCCCTAATTTGCCAAGTGTCAACATTTTATTCGATTTTTTTTCAAGCTTATCGTTATCCAAAATTATGACATATAATTACAATTTAAAAAAAAAAAAAACACAAGAAAGTGCACAAGCTTTTGTCTCATAAATCTACTTCTCATGATGATATACGTAATTTAAAACGTATATTTTGTATTTTTTTTCTATATTTTTACAAAATTGGTAATCTTTGTCTCTCTTTTTTGTTTTTTTTTCTTTACAATTTTAGATTCTGATTTTCTATATATATAATGTTGAATATTCATAATTTCGTTCAATTTTGTGTAAAATTGTAAACTATAGAAACCAAAACTACAATAAAACTTATTTAAAATATTTTTGTTATTATACTCTCCAACTCATACATGTTAACTCGTATTTTAAGTGAGTACGTTCGTTATACATCTAACAAATTGAAAAAGTATATGAAATTTAAAAACATACTGATAAAATGTGTAAAATAATAGCATTGATTCTAATATTAAATAAAAAAAGTTAAAAAGAAAAAGAAAAGTTAACCAAGTTTTCTTGATAAAAATAGCATTGATAAATTGTCTATATGTTGTTCACAACAATATCTCATTCCAAATCCTCTGTGATAAGGATAACTTAATATAATTTTTATTAAAACAAATTAAAAAATAATATGAAGTGACTAAAATAAACGAAAATAAAAAAGAAGAATAACGCATAATTGTCCCTTAGAATGTAATTTTTTTAAATAGAGTATAACTTGAGCATGCGTTCGCAGCAGTCACAAATACAAACATAGACAGAGGAAGTATATGTATAGAATACGGTATTCCATCGTATCCGTGCATGACAAGTATTAAATATTCCAATCTTACAATCAATTTTCCGAAAATTTCATCAAAAACAACTTCATCAATAAAGCACTATGATCCATAATATGCGTAAAACTAGCATAATTCGTTGAAATATCCCTCCTCACTTTCTTCACCGAATCTTCTTTGATATACTGGTTAGGTTAACATAAGCTATGTCTGGTATGCCATGTGAGGTCAAATCATATTTAATGACAAAGATTAACGATATGAAGTCAAATCATACTTAATGACACAGATTAAGGCTTCTCAACACACTTTTTTTCCTATTAAAATCTCTTTCTCTTATCTGAATGCTGATATAAAATTTCCCACAAAAATGCTCATCACTATAAATCTGAGACAATTACCAGTAGTATTGTTGCTAAGTGAACCTTTTATCTCATGAAAAAATGTGGCTTAGCAAGAATATTATCTTCCTTCAAACTTTGTTGTGTTTTTTCTTAGTTGGAATCAGTGGCAAAAAACTAAAGGAATACAAATTTGTTGTGAGTTCACTACTAGATATTTCTTGAGAATATTTTTGTAAATTTTTTATAAGAACTGTAAGAAATAAGTTTTCTATAAATTGAAATAAATTTTTATAAGAAAATTTGCAAAAAATAACTAATATTTTAGTAGGGGTTTGTTGCATCCTAAACCATTATCTGGCTTTGCATCATCATAATTCTTCCTTGGTTTTTTCATTTTTTGTTAGTTTGGCTTCCAACTCTTGTTGCATGAGATTGCATGCTGAGATTTCATAGTTGTTTGTTCCCCTTGAAGTGCATGCAGTGTTGTTATCTGTTGTTGTATATATTATTAGGTCATGGCTCACTGTTTAGAGTATGTATGTAGCTAATTTGATAAATTTGGTAGGTCAAAGAAGCTCGATATAGAAGACTCTGCAGCAGTAAACCCATATTGACAGTGAATGGACAATTTCCAGGGCCAACTATTACAGCCTACCATGGTGAAACGTTATATGTGAATGTTCACAACAAGGGAAAATTCAACATTACCTTGCACTGGTAATATTATAACCATAGAAGCTTTGATGATATTTCAGAAAAAAGAGAAGAGTAATATGTGTTTAATGTCCCTTAATTTTTTTGTCAAAGTCTTAGTTTGATCCTCATTTGTTTTATAATTGGTAAATTTTGTACCTTTTTATGAAACTCAAAATTCTAAAATGAAGAATGAAATTCACTTGTTATAAAGAATAGGAGAAGCAAAATAATCATTTTCTAAATAAAAGACCTAAGACTAATTTTGATTGAAACTTGGAAACTTAAAACATATATTCTACCTATAGAACAATGAGAAAGAAATTAATTATACGGAACATTGTAACTGATGTGAGGGCAGGCATGGAGTGAAGCAACCAAGGAATCCATGGTCAGATGGCCCTGAATACATCACTCAGTGTCCCATCAAACCAGGAGGAAAATTCAGGCAGAAGTTGATTTTTTCTATTGAGGAAGGGACCCTATGGTGGCATGCCCATAGTGACTGGGCAAGGGCCACAGTACATGGACCTATCTTTATATATCCAAAAAAGGGTGAATCCTACCCTTTTCCCACACCTGATGCAGAAGTGCCCATAGTATTAGGTATGAAAATCTCTTATATTGTTCTTTTTACCCTTGTAGGAATTTAACTTTACTCATTTATTTTTGTGTACATAGGAGAATGGTGGAAGAGTCCAGTCAATGAAGTCTACGAAGAATTTATCAGATCTGGAGGAACCCCTAATGAGTCTGATGCAATCACTATAAATGGTCAACCTGGTGACCTTTATCCTTGCTCAAAATCAGGTAGACATCAGGATTTTATTATACATTCATCAACACATGCATACCATGAAAGTTTATGTTTATGCAAGTTAATTCTCAATGTGACATTTTAACAAACTGGTTCTGCTGTCATGCAATTGACCGAATTTGAGATCCAAATTTGTCATGAAATTGGATAAATTTGAGGAACAAGTTCAATGAAAAGGAGTAATTTGTAGTTAACAGATAAGTGGATTAAATCAATGCATACAACCCTTTTCCATTAGATATTTACTCAGTCCAATCATGATTTTCTAGACATATATGTTTATTTCATAATCATTCTAATATATATATATATATATTTTTTTTTTTTGAATTTCAGAAACATTCAAATTAAATGTACACCATGGCAAGACTTATTTTCTGCGCATTGTCAATGCTGCAATGAATCTCAATCTCTTTTTCTCTGTTTCAAAGCACAACCTCACAGTTGTTGGTGCTGATAGTAGCTACACTAAGCCACTGATAAGAGATTACATAAGCATTTTTCCAGGACAAACAGTGGATGCACTATTGCATGCCAACCAAAAGCCTGGTGACTACTACATGGCTGCAAGGGCCTATTCAGGTGCAGTTGGACTTGCCTTCAATAACTCCACAACCACAGCTAGAATGCACTACATGGAGAATCATGCTCCAACAAAATCTCCTCCATTACCTCATTTCCCTGCCTACAATGACACACAAGCAGTTTAGACTACTATGTTAGCCTCAAAGGCTTACCAGAAAGATACCCTTTTGAAGTCCCTAAAATTATCACCACTCAAATGCTAATGACCCTTTCAATCAACACAAATCTATGCCTTAAAGGCCAAACCTGTGCAGGACCAAATGGAACACGTTTAGCCGCTAGCATGAACAACATAAGCTTTGAAACCCCCAGCATTGACATCCTGAAAGCCTATTACTACCACATCCATGGGGTGTATGATAGGGGGTTTCCTAGATTTCCTCCATTGGAATTTGACTATACTGCAGAGTATTTGCCTCTAGCCCTTGAGATACCAACGAAAGGAACCAAGGTTGCAGTCCTTAAACATGGTTCAAATGTGGAACTTGTTTTTCAAGGGACAAACTTGGTTACAGGGATAGACCATCCTATACATCTCCATGGAATTAGTATGTTTGCTGTTGGATATGGGATAGGAAATTTTGATAAAGAGAAGGACCCCTTGACGTACAATGTTGTTGATCCTCCCCTCATAAATACAGTATCAGTGCCTAGGAATGGTTGGGCCACCGTAAGGTTCTGTGCTTGTAACCCAGGTGCATGGCCAATTTCTTCTACTTTCATCATAAATTGTTTGTGTAATTATGTTTCCAAGTCTTGAAATTTAGATTGATTATTATTTCAGTACTTTAAATTCAAAACATATTTTTTAATAGAGAAAAAATATTTTAATTTTTAAACAATAAATTTTAAAGATTTTCGGTCTTTTGATTTTATATTTAAGAATAAAACATTTTTTTATTAATATATAATGCATTTATGGAAATTATAAGATTATTTTAATAAATAACATATGTTTTTAGGAAAAACATACATTTTTAATTTCTAATCTTATGAATTTTGAAAATATGCGATATTTTTTTATTTATTATTATTATCATGAATATGAATGAAAAAAAAAACCTAAAACTAGAAGCATAGTGTTAAAGAGAATATTATGACTATTTATCTAAATTATTTAAGTAACCTGAATTTGTAGGAGTGTGGCTTATGCATTGCCATCTAGATCGGCACCTCTCCTGGGGCATGGATACTGTGATTATTGTGATGAATGGGGAAGGAGATGAAGCCATCCTTCCTCCACCTCCACATATGCCTCCTTGTTGAAGAATATTTCTTTGTAAAAAAAAAAATGTAATAAACATTGCCACATGATGCCATGCTTTGTCTAGTGTATTTGGAAATTAGTTTAATAAAATTTTATCTATGTTGGGTTTTTTATTGCACGGAAAAATAGTAAATCAAACTAAACAAAGCATTCAGTAATGTTCACCAGAATAAATTATTCTTGTTTCTAATGCTCATTGCTTTTGTTTATAATATGGTTTTGTTGAAGCTTTAAGTTAGAAAATTTTAACTTTTTTTAAAATATAGAAGATGACATAACTCACTTTTATAAGATGACATAACAAATGTTTTTTTTGGAACAATGAGGTTACATTGCATTTTTTTTTTTTGAGTTATTTGTATTCATAAAAATCACTTACTCAAAATTTAATAATATTAGAGTTTTGAAGGTGAGTCACAAATTATATATGCACTTACTTGATCCATTACAAGGGAAAATTAAACTCAATCCACTTACCAGTCCATTTTGATTGAATTTCTAGTGACCTAAATTGCCTTAAAATTCATGTTATAATTTTTGTTTAAATTTTTATTTTATTTTATGTGTTGTTGAATACTTGAGACGTATACCTTCTTACAACGTTTGTATGCTGTTTAAGATTTTTTTTTCTATCATTGAAATTTAATTTTGAAATGTCGAAGTTTTTATAACTTTTTAAGGTTTTAAATTTTAAGACTTTTATGTTGTTCATTAGTATTTGTTTAGACATGTTATTAGTCTTTTTAATATGGTTTTCTTACTACTAAAATTTGGCATGAGTTTTTTTTTAAATGAGTTTTGTATTTTTTTTTACATTTTATTATAAATTAATTTAAGTAAAAATTATAATAAAAAATTATAAGAATAGTTAAAAAAATATACTAATATTAATAAAAATTTTCCACAAGGTGATTATACAAAATTAAATTAAAAATAATTTTCCACAAGGTGATTTTCTTATGGTTTGTCTAAGTATTTTATTTTGTTGGGGTTCATGTCTCTTTTGTGTATCTTTGTCATCATTATCATTATGTTTCTCTTTCTTAGTTGGATTTTAAGATGTAGACATTGTTGGGCGGTAATAATTCATAGATCGAACTTGATGATATGTTGATGGTAGTGTTATGAAAAAGGTGACAAAAATATTTGATCCATAATGCATTATATTAAATGTAAGGAACATGTCCTCCAAAATGGTTTTCCCTAGTTAAATTTTGAAGTTGATCCACATAATCGTAGAATGAAACAGGTTGAAAATTAGATTGACTAGGTTGTTGATAACTTGACGAATCATGTTGTTGATAGGTAGATGGACCAACATGTGGATAAGTTGGTTGAGGTGTTTAGTGTTGTTATTCCTCTATAATGTATCATACTAATGAAAATAATATATAAAATTAATATTTGTATGAACAATATAACCAAATGAAATAAATAACATTTCATACTTACTTAATTTTTTGTATTTTGTGCTTGTTGAGTGAAAATATGTCATATAGTACATTAAAAATATCATTACATATAAGGTGTATTTTTAAGCAAATATCCATATTCATTGAACTGTTGACCTTTAATTAGTCGATTATGTCAGTTATTCTATAATATAATCCATTATCGATGATACTGTGACCAAAATGTATCCATTATGCCCCTCATAATGTAATACATTATTGATCATGAGAAATATTTTGACGTAGACCAAATTGTCTCATGACTTAATCTGCCTGATGATCTAACATGTAATATACTACGTATGCGGGGGTATTTGATCTCTATCCCGCTCGAGACCACCTAAGATCAAAAGTAATCTTGTAATTTCATTATTGTATGATATATATATATATATATATATATATATATATATATATATATATATATATACCTTTACTAGGGAAAAACTAAATCTTACATCAACCTTTTCTTCATTTAAATCTTCAACAAGTAGACAAAGACATGTAATTCAATCTCATGCCCAACATTGAAGAAGTAACATATAATCTCCAATATTTTCTTGATAAGGGTCAATTATATGGTCCAATGCTTGATAAGATGAAACAAGCACAATGGACCCCAACTGTATTAGGTATAATAGTTAGGTCTTGCAAAATTAAAAAATATGTCAAGTGAACACTAGAATAAGATGTATTTGACATCAATAAATATCCTATGATACATAATATGTGCGCTCGTGTATGTTGAGCAATAACATTGTTATCTACGTCATCAAAAAATTGTTGGAAGGTTGCATTCAACAAAGAAATTTAATTGAATTTCTTTTGGCTACTCCTTTAAGTAGAAGTGACCTTAATAAAGGTTCACAAAAACCTCTCTTAAATCACCACTGATAGGACCAGTGATAAGCTTTCCATCAATTGAAAAACTAAGTTGTAAAACAATATTTTCCAATCTTAAAGTTATTTCTCTAATGGAGATCTTTTTCCCAAAATTTTATAACTTACATTAGTATTTATAATTTTAGCCCCCAAATTAATGATTATTCTCAAAGTTTTATCACTTATATTAACATTTATAATTTTGGTCTCCCTATATGTTTCCTGTGCAAGGTCAGGATTTGGTTTCTAGGGAACCGAATTTCTATTCTCAAATGGAAATTTGTCATGTGCACATTAGAAATGAAGTCAAAATTTGGTTCTTGGGACTAAGTTCTAAACTACGTTTTGATTTATTTTTCTGCATCAAGTTATTTCTTTAATTATATATAGTGAATAGATTGAATTTGATACATAAATTTCAAATTAAAAAGCCTAATATTGAATTTAAAATTAAAGATGATGAGTAGATTAAAGACACTACATAATAAGAGTATGTTCTTTTCAGAGACAAAGGCAAAAGAACCATTAAACCACAACATTCATTTTATTATGCTAACATGGTTGTTTTGCACTTACTGTAGTACAGGAGATTAAAGAAGATGAGCCTACCAATTTTGAAGAAGCTATGAACAACAAATAATCTTTGAACTGAATTGTAACTTGAATGAGGAATTAAATTCCTTACACAATAACGATACTTGGTGCTAGTTGATAAACCTAAGGGCAAGAAGCTTCTTAGTTGCAAGTTATTATCCATGTTGAAGGAAGAAATTTTAGAGGTGAAAAATGCTAGATTGAAACTATAAACAACAAATAATCTTTGAACTGGATTGTAACTTGAATGAGGAATTAAATTCCTTACACAAGAACGATACTTGGTGCTAGTTGATAAACCTAAGGGCAAGAAGCTTCTTAGTTACAAGTGATTATTAATGTTGAAGGAAGAAATTTTAGAGGTGAAAAATGCTAGATTGAAACCAAGATTAGAAGTAAGAGGATTTGCACAATGCGAAGGTATTGACTACAATGAGCTATTTTCTCCTGTAACACTCCTCCTCCTCCATTAGAATGATTTTGCCCCTGGTTACTCAAGAAGACACAACAATGGAGCAACTTGATGTTACAACAACTTCCTTGTATATTATGAACTTGAAGGACACATTTACATGACTCAACTAGAAGGATTCATAAGGTTTGCTTCCTCCAAAGGTCTCTATGGTCACAATCCCCTCGACAATGGTACAAAAGGTTTGACACCTTCATTGTACATAATAGATTTGAAAGGTGTAAGTATAATAATCGTGTATGTTTGAATAAAACTAAGCATAAAGCCATTGTCCACTTGTTCCTCTATGTAGATTATATGTTGATTACTTGCAACATCAAGGAAGAAATTAAATAAGTAAAGAATATGATTGAGAGTGAATTTGAAATGAAGAATATGGGGCTTTCAGTAAAATATTGGTATTCAAATCATAAGGGATAAAGTAAAAAGAACTTTATTCATTACTCAGAGAGACTACGTAACTAAGGTGTTAAAGAAGTTCAAGATTGTTTTGACCCCTATGGCCGAACACTTCTAGTTTGCACATCAATACTCACCAAAGATAGAGAAGGAAGTCTCTTATATGAAAAATGTTCCTTATGACAATGTTGTGAGGAGTCTCATGTATGACATGATCTATTCCAAATTTGGCATATGTTGTGAGTTTGGTTTGTAGATACATGGAGAAACTAGAAAAGTTGCATTCGTAAGCTATGAACTAATTTTTTATGAGTTTGGTTTGTAGATACATGGAGAAACTAGAAAAGTTGCATTCGTAAGCTATGAACTAATTTTTTAGATACTTGAGAGGGACATTTAAAATTTGTTTCTAGTATGTTAGGCATGAAGATAGTAAATTTTAGGTAACTTGGTTTATTGTTTTATATTATGCAAGTTGTTTAGGTATTATAAGATCTTTGATAGGCTATGTGTTTAAGTTTTTTGGTAACAACGTGAGTTGGAAATGTAGTCTCTAACATGTGGTTTCCTTATCTATTACAGAAGTTGAATTCATTATTATCACATAAGCAATTAAGGAGACAATTCCTATGAGAGAAATGATTGAAGGATTGAAAATAGAGTAAACTATTAATAAGGTATTTTTTTTATAGTCATTCTAAAATACATTGGTTAATAATCAAGCACCAAAAGAGAACTAAATATAGATGTAAAACTTCATTTTGTGAAGAAAATCATTAAAAAAGAAGAGATGATTCTAGAAAATATCAACATTGATGACAACTCTAATGATATGTTAACTAAAACTCTACCAAGTCCTAAGTTCAAGTATTACTTGAAGATTTTCCAAATTGTTGATATAAAATCAAACCAAAATAGAAATTATTAGTTGATTTGTAACTTTATTTTGCTAGATAATTAGTTTTTTTTATTGTTTTATAACAAAATATATTTGTACATTTCTTATAAATTGAATATAATAGAAAAAGAAAAAAATATTCAATCTTCAATAATATTTCTTTCTATCTTATTATGTTGCATTCTAAAGTCATAATATTTGTGAAATTAAAATGACAAAAACATTAAGAATAAAAACAATAAAATAAATTCATTAAAAAGAGTATTAACATATTTAAACTTAATATTCTAAATAATCATATGTAAAGCGCATACATCAAAGGATCATGTAATAATGAAGGTGTTAAAAGAAATTTGTTTTTGAAAAATATTAAAAATAAAAAATAGTCTAATTAAAATATAAATATATGTATCATTACAAGGCAAACAATGCTCATGTTCCCCCCCCCCACAAACAAAAGTGCTTCATAAGCTCCCGTTGACTTGTGTGACTTTTAACAAATTTGTATCTTCTTAAAATCTAGTGAAAATGCAACAAAATTAGATAAATAATATTTAGGAAACGACTTATTACGTAAAAACATTCTGTATTTGATTTATTTTGAAGTCTTAAATAGTTTTTAGTTTCTAATATATAATGAATTTTGTTGAATATAAAATATATTTCTTTATTTTAAATTAGATATTTAACAAATTTTAAAATTTTGATTTAAGTTTCTGAAAAAAATATTTATTTATATTTTCTCTTTAATATCAATTACACATCATTTGAAAAAGTGATTCTTAAACACAATTTTACTAATAACTACACTTTACGATTACAACCCTGTGCGATGTTGTTTCATATGTGCAGTTTTAGCCATCAGAACCAGGTAATACAGTAGCAAAACATCTTAGACTTAAGGATATTATCCCACGTTACTAAGTGACCATAAAATAAAGGGTCCAACTCAAAGTAGAATCCTTGAGTGGTAGACAGAAAACAAATTACTTTAAGAGCATAAATATCACATGTCCTTCAAGAAAAGGAGTCATTCACTTTCAAATTTGAAAGCAAATAAAAAACTGAAGTATATATACATAAAGAATTAAAAAATTGAATAACAAAATGAAATGAAATTTAAAAACTTGCAAATACCAAGATTCTTGTATCAGGTCAGATATCTCTGCCAACAGATACTAAGCAACGGAAAATTGCTTGAAAATGCTTTATGTGCGTATATATACAAACCAAGCACTAGGCATCGCTCACCCTCGATTTGCCATGTATGTTAAATATATTGTCCATACATAAGCACAGGAGCTATTCAGTAGTGGCTGCAGAAATTATAAGAGATTCAAATAAAGAGCTATGACGACTAAAACAATAACTGATGAATTAAAGTTACTCATTAGATTAAATTAAATTAAGATAGAGATTGTTCTTAGCCAAGACATCTCATCCACAATCACAAACCTGCAAATGGACTGGAACGAATCTGAAGGTAACAAAATCACATACAGGCCAAAACAGAGCACCGCCTAATAATGTAGGAAGTAGATCTCGCTTCAACCTGGCAATAACTCCAGTTAAATCTTCACCTGATAATGATGTCAAAGTGGTAAATTCAGAATCACCACAACTTTTGCAAAAACATAAGGGTAAAAACTTTACGCTTGTTTCATGAATGTTCTTCTGATTGTATAAACTTCATAAACATTTGTAGGAGAAGATAAGATAAATTTAAGACAGTTGAATAGAGTAGTCCATAAAAACTTATGCCAAATATGGCCACAGAAGATTTTAACAAACATAACTTATGTTATGATGCCAAATAATGCATGAAAATGAAACAAAATAATCATGCACATGTTCGATCAGTAAAGGGTCAAATAGAAGCAGGCACACGACAATGGTTAGACAACCCAAGTTTCTTACATTTGAGTATGTAACTATGCAAAAGGATAGAAAAAGGTAAGGTGGTATAAATGAAGTCTCAAAACAGATCCATGAGTTAAATAAAATCTATCTTAATCAAATCCATGTGAGTGAAGTATCCTATTAATGGAATTGAAGATTCAAGACAAGGTCAGTATTCAGCAAGCTAAAAAAAAAATCACCTTGACAGAAACCATTGTAGGAGAAGAAGACAGAATTGATGACAGGACCAAATATTATTTGTCCCATTAAAATTTTCTTCAAGGTTGATGTCATATCTGTCTTCGGTAAAATTTTGGATAGAAAATTAAACCACTTGTGTTGTGATGGCCCCAAGATTAGCAGACCATATACTGCCATACGCAATGTCCTTATTATATCATATGAAGCACGAAAACTCGGCAATGTAATCACCTAACAAATGTGTAAATGAATACGTCAGTGACAAAAACCCAATGAAGTAGAAAAGAAGTAATAATAAAAAAGGATATCATTTTTACCCGAATCAGTCAATAGATATGTTACTAGACCTTAATTTAAAATAGACAAGTAATTTGATAAAACAAAAATTCATTATAAAGAATATGCTGAGAAGAAAGTATTTCCTTCATTTTTCACCATACTCATTCAGTTCTATACAATTAATTACAATAATAGCTACTAGCTTAAAAACGAGTAATCATTATACCAATTGACATGTAGGATAAAATACTTATTCTCTAAGCATATTAAAAATATGACAAGTAGAATTGTAAGTGTCAAATGTTGGTTTAGACACCAACTAGAAGAACCTAAGTTTTGAAAACAAACTAAAGTTAGAATATCTTGCAATCTATAAAGAAAACAACTAATAGATAATTTTGACATATTACTATAGTTATATTTAGAGCTCTAGTTATACTAGTAACCTACAATTATTCAAATTCGTAACCAATTTCTTCACTTTTAACGATAATTATAATAATAATGATTTAAAAATAATTATTATATTTTTTTAAATCATCGTTTAATAAAATATGTGTAGTAGTATCCTCTCCACCATATCCGTACATTTTGTCTATCTAAGCAATTCGAATAACAAAATAAATTCTTGATAACTTTGTATCTTATTATACGTGAATGAAATGCAATTCATATCTCCGACATAATGCATGTTTTTACTTTTTCATCAATTCTAATGAAAAAATTAAAAAAAAATCATGAATTTTTAAATAAAAAGAATTTGAAAAAACATTTGTGAACTTATTCTATTCTATTATCCCAGCTATATTTATCATTCGCTTATTCAATGCATGGATTCAATTTTTCTAAATAAAGACATCACAAAGTTCGATAAACTTCAGTTTAAATTGTATACATTAAACACTGCATATATTATTTGAAGTAATTTTTCATTGTACATGAATCTAACGATTTGATACAACATTTCGATCCATGGTTTAAAAAAAACTCTACATGATTGAATCTAAATTGGATAACCTTGCTCTAAATAATTTCTAGAATATATAATATTAAGCTTTAGGTGGGTAGAATAAAATAGTGTGAATAAGGTGCTGCGGATTTCCAATAGAATTGTGTGATACACACAAAGTAGTTAATAAATGTGTTAATTTCTTTTTTCTTAGACTTTTATCCCTTTTTTTCTCTAAATATTTCTCTATTATACATTGTTTGATTGCAAATGATGTGTAAAGAAAAAGAAAGAAAGAAAAGTATGAATTTGATATAAAAATAAATAAGTCCTATAGTATGAATTATGTTTTTCTCTCTTATTAACAGGAAAACTTTGCATGAAATGCTAAATTTGTAAATAAAAGAAAAATATTAAAAGAAAAATAACTAAAAACTAAATAGGTAAAATTAATAAAAAATCCTCTTTCTTTATCATTTTCTGTTCATTCTCTCTCTCTCTTTTCTAGCAAACAATCTTTATTTCATTTTATTTTTACTATATATTTTTTTTTACTTTTTCATATATTTCTCTCAAATTTCTATTCTTTTTACCGAACAAACTCTTACTGAATAGCAGATCTGTGAAATGTCAGGAACAGAGTGATGGTAACATTTCTTAAATCTCATAATAAGAAAAAGACTTAGCAAAGTACCCCACGTATCATCCAACCAGCGATAACAAAAGGAACACGAAATGAGTGGATTAACTAATTCAAAGAACTAAACGCCAAACGATGCACAACTAAACCCATTTTCACTTTCATCAGCACATGACACACACATTAAGAGCGAATGGAAGGGTTTCGGCGTTACCTGGGAAGTGATGTCAGCCGCGGCGAACACAAGCGAGGACGTTATGCTCTTGGTGGTGAGGGGGTAAGTGTCGAGCATACGCAGATACCATCCCACGAATCCCGAACTGCGAGAGGGAGAAGTAGAAGAAGACGTGGAAAAGCGCGCCACCGAGAGAGAAGCGAGTTCGTGTGGCGGCGGTTTGCGGTGGAGATGCGGTTGGTGGCAGCGGCGAAAATTGGAGAGCGGAGTGGCGAGGAAGTGGTTTCGGGGAGTGGAAAGGGAGGAGAAGAAGCGGTTGGGAATGACGTGGGTCATGGTGGCGCGCGGAACATGAAGAAAGTGAAGGATCATGGCGTGAAGAGTGTACTTATTTGTTTTTTTTTTTTTTTTTTTTTTTTTTTTTTGAGATCCGAAGAGAGTGCAAACGAGGTGATCTTCGTTTACCGAAGATCGGGGTATTTGTGAGGCTCCTACAATAACTTGCAGTTGGATTCTTTGACTGTTATACTAGTCCAAGTTGGACTATAAATACATAAGATACACTTTTTTTAAGACATATTTAGGAAATAACTAACACTTAAACATTTTTTAATTTTTAAATAAATAACACATTCATATCATAAGTGATTTACCCTTATTTATTTCTCAAGGGGTGCTCTATAACATGTTACAAAGTTTTCTCACATGTAGAAAATATGACATTTACAATAAGACCCGTTAAGTTGTATATGGATCTCAAATTTCTCTTTCCATTTCCTTTCCAAAGTCACCTAGTCTTCATTTGCAGCTGATGATGATCCAATGCTGTTGTAAGACTCACCCGTTTCAGTTTCATCAGTTTTAGCTTCTTTGAATTTCTTGTATAGGTCACTTTTGTAGAATTGTACAGTCCTAAAGACTAAAATGAGTGACAGAAGTGCCCCAAACAAGCAAACTGCAGTCATTAAAATGAATGCTAACTTGTAGCAGTCCTCCCCTTTGCAGTTCAGCTCCTCTCCTGGGCTTGTCTTTTGTCCCATAGCTTCCATTTGGCTTCTGGCTTCCCTGTCATAGAGATACCCTGCAACCCCCACATTGAGCAAGTATGACCCAATTGGACTTGCTAGTGATCCAACATTGTATAATGTTGAATAATGTTTGAGGCCAAAAAGTTCAGATATAATGGAATGGAGTAATGGCCAGTTAGCCCCTAAGCAGAACCCAATAACAATTGAGGCTACATAGAGACCATTTGGGACATTGAAGGCAATTAAAAGATGGCCAACACAAGATAATAAAAGCAATGATGTGAGCATGAGAGGCCTAGGGACTCTATGTTTGTCAATGATAAATTCTGAGATAACCCCTTGAACGACCTTACCGAAATAGATCCAAATGGACGTAAGAGAGACAACTGTGGTTATGGCATGTGCAGGATATCCTAATGAAATTCCAATTTGACTCAAGTTGTTTACCATGGTCTGGTAGCTACCAAGTGAACATATAGAAGTTAACAAGAGAAGCACCATGTCAAGGCTAAAAGTGGCTTGAAGTATTGTATGATCTTCACCTCTTTCTGGTGGGCTGAATATGTTTTCCCAACAGGAGACTTTTTCTTGGACAAATTGTCCTGTATGGGGAGCCTGGGAAGACTTTTCTTGAGAAGGATTTTCTGTAGCTGTATTTTGAGATTTTGCCAACAGCTTTTGACTACCTTCCCTATTGATGTTTTCTTGCTTACTCTTCCAAATCTTGTGTTCTTCCACAATAACAACAGCAAGTGGAAGGATGAGCAAAAGAAGAATCACAGTGGTAGTAACATAATATTCACTCTGAGAGAAAGTGAAAATTTGTTGTACTACAATTACATACATGAGGAACCCTGCAAGGACAAATGTCAAATAGAGGAACTTGTAGAAAGCTTTGGTGTCATTTGGCTGTTGAATACTCTGATGGTTTCGGATAACTGGAAGGAACAAAAAATCTGTAGCAGTTGGTAGCCATGCCATGAGCAAAATGAAGAATTTGGAGTCATTTCCATAGAAGGCATAGTATAGCTGAGTAATTATTACTGCACTTAAACCTATATACCCATTCAAAAGGCCTAAGACAATGCCTCTGCTACCAGGGAAGTTCTTTACACTGGTCACAAGAATTCCAGTGTTGGTTGCACAATGAGAATTGGCTCCAATGAAGAGGTACAAGCCCATCTGCCACACTTGGGGCTTTGCAATTTTGCTGGTGACAACAAGCCAAATCACAAAGTACCCAGAAAAGTTGAGAACCCCACCAATTGTCAAGATAAACCAAGGAGGTGTGACCTCATAGATTAGGCCTGCATGAATGCCTGTGGTGTCTCCCAAGTCCTTGAAGAAGCTTAATAGATTGAGAGTGGATTGGTCATAACCAAGAACTAACTTGATTTCCTGGGAGTATAGGCTAAAAATGTAGCTTGCTCCTGACATTGACATGATCATAAATGAAGAAAACATCATGAACCACCTCCCTGTAAGGACTTGGAGGGAAAACCCTTTCATGCTTCCCCAACTAATTTCATCACCTCTCCCATATGCTGTGGAGAATTCCATTTCTCTCACTTCTAAAACAAGGTTTTAGATTACAAACAAATACTACCAATCCAGTCACATGTACAAGTAGAGACCCCTCAAAACCTTAACGTTGTGACGAGACAGAAATTGTAGTCATTGACATTTGTTTAAAACTTGAGTGGTAGAGAATACTCATATATGTACTACTTCAGAAAAGTGATGAAAAGTCCTCTCAGTGACACGAATCGAAAAAAGTGTTCACATATGTTAAATATATTAAAAATATAATAATGTTATAGTATATAAATAAATATATTTTAGTTAATATAAAAGATTACATTCAAAATAATATAAAAACTGACGATTAATAAACCTCCAACAAAAGTAAAAACTAAAGATCAAACAATAGAATAATATATATATATATATATATGTGTGTGTGTGTGTAAATTTTTATAAATAGACTTCAATCCACGTTTAAACGTGGGTATTAAAAATTAATAAACTACGTTTATCTGGAAAAACTAATTTATAATTAGTTATTTGGTAAAAAAAGCATTGTCTCATTTATTACGCAATTCCTTTATGTTTAAATGGCGCACCAGAGTTGGCCTAGTTTTATAGTAAATTCAACTCATAAAATGAATGATTATATTCAAGTGTACAGAAAAAAAAATGTATAAAGAGTTCCAAATAAAAAAAAATCATGGACCACGTGATTTGAAATATTCACGCAAAAATATTGTACTTACCTACAAATTTAAAAAATAGAGCTTGAAATAAGCCATTAGTAACGTTTAGCCTATTTTAATCTAAACAATAATAATAAAAAAAAAATACAATCTTAATTTTGTATGCACATATCACTTTAACTTACTATGTGAACCTTACACTATACCTTAGACAAAAACATGCAACATGTAAACTATGTGAACCTTTGTTATTGATAAAATTACAACATATATAGAAGGAAATAAATTAAGAAGTACATAACATGTTAACATAAACCAGAACACTGAAACTATTTAGAATTTAGGATTGAGATTGAAAAAATTGAAAATAAATTGAAACGTGTGAATTGAGGGTAAAAAATATGAAAGATTAACAAAGGTTTGAAGAAAATATTTTTTAAAAGAGATTAGGTTGATCAAATAAAAAATTAAGTTGAAAGGGTGTAATGTGATCAATTAAATGTCAAATCGAAGAGTTGAAGATATCAAATAAAAAATTGTGAATCAAAGGCATCGAGAGAAAGTTATATAATTAAAAGATACGCAAAAATAGTCACTTGTCTCGTTAGGTGATATACATGCATGTGGATATTACATTACAACAAAGTGGATTGAGGAAAAAGGAAATAATTATAGAAAAATCATTATTCGTAGATTATTTATATTTTGTGTATTTTATTTGACTTCATTTTTAATTTTATTTTTCTTTTATATATATATATATATATATATATATATATATATATATATATATATTCAAGTGTTTTAGCGGTTATATAAGAAAAATATAAATAGGGTGAAATAAATATAACAAATGATGATTATTAAATTGTACAAAAAAATTGACATGAACATTATCTCAAGTGTTGTGGGCTTATAGAACGTTTTCAAAGGATTCTATAAAAACGACTCCCTATAAGTTAGTTTATGGGCATGATGTTGTATTACCCATGGAGATTAATATAGAGTTAGTTAGAATCAAAAGACAGAATGAGTTATCCGGTCAAAATTATTGGAGTAAAATGTACGATGAATTAAATGAATTGGATAAAGTTTGAATTAATGTCTTAGAACAATTATTGGAGTAAAATGTACGATGAATTAAATGAATTGGATAAAGTTTAAATTAATGTCTTAGAACAAATATTACACTAGAAAAGCAAATTGTCAAATCTTATAATAAAAGAGTTAAACAGAAAAGTTTTGAAGAGGGAGATTTAGTGTGAAAAGTGATTTTGTCTCTAGATCGAAAATCAAAATGTTATGAAAAATGGTCACTTAATTAAGAAGGTCCCTTTAAAATTAAGAAAGCATTATCAAATAATGCTTATATTTTAACTAGTTGTTATGATGGCCTAACAAAGTTGTCAATTAATGGTAAATATTTAAAGACATTCAAGACTCACCATATATAAAATAAGTTGAAGAAAGAGAAGATAAATATATTTAAGTATAAATCAAAATGTTTAGAAATTATGCTCCGATCAAAGTCAGTTAAATTTTACAAGTAAAGCATCCCATGCATCTGACACTAAAGCCTTTTGTTTACTAATATCTGTTAGTTTGATGATGTCATCTCTTAGGCTGATAGTGAGATCCTTTGACGTTTCAAGTAGATTATAAGATTCAGTTTTGATCATAGTTTTTTATTAAGTAAGCTCGAGGATCTTGACTTCAGAAATCTGAACTTGTTATTAGAGATCAAGTATTTTTTGTTTGAGTTTGCACACTTGAGTTGTACTTCATTTAATCAAGTGGCAATAGTGGCAATTTTGGTAGCAACAGTGGTCTCAATCTCTTCCTTTTTTTAATCCAATGTGAGACATTTTTTCCTCAAAGCTCAACTTTCATTAAATAAGTTGGTGACAGTTGAAACTTCTTTATTGAAACCTCGAGAAAGTTGTTTGATAAGGATTTCTTTGATCTTATGAAGAATATCTTGAAACTCTTTCTTATTGTGTGGCGTTTTGATGGTTGTTTCGAGTGGGAAAAAATAGATGAAGGTTCTAAATTTCTTCACAAAATCCAACACATCAGAGTCGAGCGACAGAGCAGAAGAAGAGCTTGTTTCGACCTCAAAAGCTTCCCCATGAGTCATCATGAACTCTAAAATACTGAATGAATCCTTCTCAATTTCTTCCATTAGCAAAACTTCACTACTAGTTGAGAGCTTAGTAGTAGGATCCATCAGGGGTAGATCAACATCATGGGGATTGTGTTTTATTGCTAGTTGGACTACAACAGGTTGATTAAGAGATTCTGTTAATAACACAAGTATAAGTTTGGTTAGATATCAAAGAAACTTTATTGTATCATAATAAAACAAGTTCTCAGAGAGAATAATATAAGGGGAAAGTAAAACTAATCACCTTGGGCAATTAATTCAGTTTGTGTCTCAATTGGAGCATAGGTACTATGTATAATGGATGATTCCTATTTCAAAATCATAAAGATTAGCATAATGAAAAAAATAGAGAAAGAAATACTTTCTAAAAAGTATGTAAACAAAGACACTAAAGTACCTTGAATGGAGATGTAGAGGGTGTTGGGAGTATTAGTTCAATAGAGACTTTGGCCATAGAATCTAAGTTGCTAGATAAACTTGTCAAAGCCTCTTTCTATAAGTATAATGATAGTAATGGTTAATACAGAATTATGCATGGTAAAGGATGATTGTATTGAAAGGAACAAGTACCAGACTCTTTTTCTTTATACGATGAGTTAAAAGGATATTATCATCATCATTAGAATTAGACTCAATAATTGATGGTGTTGAGAGGGGAGCATTGGTGGTGGAAGGTGCAAATATCTGGATGAAATTTATATTTAATGCATGTATTGTAAAGCATTGTTCAAACAATGAGTGTTTATAATATTGAGATGATGATTTTGGAATATAAGGAGAACAAGGGGTAGGCTTTGACCTCGATTTGTTCTGAAATAAGGAAGAATGATAATTAACATTCAATTTGGGAGTATGAATGAATAAGAAAATTTAAATACAATCAGTTTAAGATAATCATTAATACTGGATGAGGAGCGAGGCCTTGTGCTTTCGTTTTTTTTGGACTTTTAGAGGGGAATGGGTAGGTGGCACTTCAGTAGGTTCAAATGTTTCCTCTTCTTTAGGATCAACAACTTTAGTAGAAGAAGAAACTATAAAAGAAATCAAAGTAAGCATAGTACAAGAATCCATCACAAATTTTAAAGGACAAAAGAAGTATACAAGAGAATAAAACCTCACCAAAGGGTGTGTTGGTTAAGATATGTATATGATCGATATGGGTAAGCTAATGGGGTAAGGTCACGTTTGGTAAATGAAGGTAAGGATAATAAAACAACTTCGAGAAAGTAATGACTTTATTTATCGGTTTTTTGATATAAAAGTTCATGGTGTGATCCAAGTTCCTGAATCCACTTAGAGTGAGTTAAAGGTTTAGAATTCCAAAAGGAGCATAAGGGAAGCTTGGTAAAATGACAGGACAAAATTGCTCGAAAAGGGTTTTAAGCAAAGATTTATGATTTTCCTAGCATCTCAATTGTGATAAACTTTGTCTCGTAAAGTGTAGCCTACACTCCTAAAGGTAAATTCTAATTGAAGAGGATCGTAACATTCTTTATAGTAATCCTCAGATTTTGTAATTTGAAAATAATATTCATATGTACCTTTCTTGGCCTTTGTCTTGTCCTACATAGGGAATTTAGGGTGAGCATCTAATCGCGCTTTGATGAGAAAAATGCCTTGTGGAGAACCACTCATCCCACCATATATAAAACTCAAATGTGCTAAAAAATTGGACTCGAATGGAAAGGGATGAAATTTTATTGGCTCTGAGGGAGTCAATTGGAGAAGTGCTTCTTTTATGCTCGATTCATTATAAGTAATGTCTCGAGGGATGATATGATGAAATCAAGAAGTAACGAAGGCTTGGCTCAGGCGAAATTGACGTGAAAAGTGTTGAGTGACATATGAGAAGAATTTGATGTCCTTTATTTGGAAACCAACTATCAAAATATCCCACGCCAAGAAGCTACTCCAAACTTCAACAAGTTCATCTTGTAATCCCGATGTGCTTGCTAGCGGTTTTGACTTGAGCCATAGTTGGCCTCGAATGTCTCGAGGAGAGTTGTCAATCTTGGAGAAGGGGTAAGGATAATATCAAATTCTTTTCTCGCTAACAAGAATTTAAGGTAAGTATTATAGAAGGTGGGGTTGAGTTTGTAGTGTTTGGGGTGTCAGTTAGCCAATCTCGTGTCTTCCATAGGATATAATGGGATTAGTCTAGAGGTCACTCCAGGTACTAGAAG